GCTAAATTGGCAAACTTGAGAAACTCGTGGCAACCTAAATTTATTTATTTATTTATTTATTTATTTACATACCCTAAGGACCTGGGAGGGCATTACATTATGAATGGTGACAGGGCAAATTTTTGGCAATTTTCGGCTTAGGTCTCGACTGAGTTATGCATTATATACCGAGTCTTCAAAAGCTGATAGGTGACAATATTTTTTTCTATTTTTGTAGTTTTAGACACTCCTGTAGAAGGCGCAATTTAATACGTTTGTCCTGTTTTTCGTGTCTATCTCCTCTAATTCACCTAGATCCTGGAGGCACTGGTGCGTCTGTCATCAAACTTCCAGCAAAATTTACGTCAGTGGGCTGCTTCGCGAAGTGGTGGTGTTCAGATTGTCCACTGCTCCAATTGTCCTGAATAGCTTGTCGACTACTTCACTGTTATGTACCCCTTAATTTTATAAGTGTGTAGTTTAAATTTGTCAACATAATTTTCAGGTGGGCCAAAAAGTCTGCCTTTTTGGGCAGCATTCTGAAACTGCAGTGATGAACACACAGAAAGCATGGCGCGAGCATTGCTGCAGTTACGCAGTACTTTTCAATTTATTTCTGTTGTTTTGTAGTCAAGTTATTCTATTATCAGACTCATGATTCCACAGCAGCAAAATAATGTAAATCTGCAGGAGGGCTATGCACGGTGTTGCTCTCTTGTTGTCGTGACTGCATCCTGTATTCGCTACAATTGGTATAACAAACTTCTTTTCTGAGGTACTACAGTATTCAAGGGCGCAGCTAGTGAATGCATGCCCTTTCACAGCTAGCGCTCTCATAGTGAAGTGGATGATAAGACCGACAGTGAAAAACGTCAGTATCATTTAGGGTGTACAGATGGTATCGTACTCCACAATGATATATATAATTAGAAAATTTTATTACTAGGCATGCCACACAAGTAAAGTGGCAACTTTTTTGGGAAAATGCTGACTTTCAGCGACATTTCGCTCATCATTTTGCGAATTTCTTTCGTAAGTCAGTAGCAACTCTGAAATAGACTTTCCCTCTAGCGTGCGCATCTCCTGCATGCACAAACGTACCCATCCCTTAGGTTCAGCGCATGCGCACTCTTGTCCCCTTTCGCGCGTTGCGTACGCTATATAGGCTGTTGCTTGCGCTAAACTATTTCAATTTGTGGGAATGGAGGCTAGCCCGCTGCCTTTGCGCGGGCTTTGCCGCCTCTTCCTCCATTCTTGTGCCAAGACATGACTCCCCTCCTCATGGTCTACGCGCTGGGAGAGCGAGGAGGCGTGCTTAACTCCTCTCACCCGGTAGCGGATGTCGACTGTGGCACTATGCGCAGGGTCTCACGAGAGGTTTTGTGCGCACTCGTTGGGAGTGAGAGAGACCTCTCCGGGGACGATTAGGGGGTAAGCACGCTTTTCTTTGACGTTCGTAGGCTCCCTTTGTTTGGGGCTCGTTCGGACTTCACCAACAGCGCCTCGCGCCTGCGGCAAATGTTTACCTTATGTCGTCCCCCCACTTCCAACGCTAGGCCGAAGAGCAGTACCGTGTCTTAGTGGGTGGTCAAACTGCGCCGACCCGTATCTTTTCGAAGCCAACGCGAGTGCCTTTGCCCTCACTCGAGCAACTGGGCCCTTTGTCCCGGTGTCACCGTGAATCACTTTTACCACGGAGACGTGCTCGTGGCATCCCTGTGTAGTGCTTCTCGCTTGTGGCGTGGATTAGCCCATTTGCTTTCCCGCCACGCCTTTGCAATGGGCTGTACTACGTTTTGGTGTTGCCGCAGGCAATAAAGTGTTGCGACCTTGAGTAGTATCATGTTCTCGCCACGGCGATGGTTAACGCATGCCCTGCGGCTCGCTAAGACCGAACCCATGCTAGTGGCCGTACTCCTTCCGGATACGTATACACTACAAACTCTTAGTGATGAGACATGCATGTCCCATTACTGACCACACTACGTTGGACCACACACTGCATGTGAACTGCAGAACCAACACCGGGTTGCTCAAAGATCTACTTTCTTTAGTATCAGGCTTAGGCGACGGCCGACACGATCTGCAGACGACAACGAGTCAACTTCATTAAAGCACGACCGCTGCGACATGTTTGCATTTCCGCTAACACCACTACCTACTCTCTGCTTTACACTGGCATTTCATATGAAGGTTGCCTTAGACATTCATTTTACGATTCACTGTCAGCTTCGAAAACTTATTTTAAAGAATGCGATACGAGAATTTTGCGGGTTCACGCTAGCCGTTGAATACACCATAAAAAAAGTGCATAGCGAAACAACTTATGTAATATATAGTGCAAGAACTGCGGCTACCAATTACGCAAGTGTTATATTCTCGCTCAAAACAGCTGTCACTTGGCCGAACGCTATCTCAGTGCTGCCTGAGAAAATACTAATTTTAGTTTAAAGCAAGCGCATGATGAGCAACCTGCACAGTACGTCCAGCTTGGCAAGTGCTATTTGAGCACACTTACCTATGAGTTTAAGCCGTAGAATGCTTGGCACTACGTCGAAAAGGTTTGCATGATATTCGAGCATCCGTCCTTTGGACAACACAGTCTCGCGAAGGTATCGGATCGCGCACACCACATCGATGAAACCGTAGCGGAGAATAATCGCTGGCATTGCTCCTTGCCTGCTGTGTTGCAGTTTTCAACAAATTAAGTGTCCAAATCTTCGCTGGTCTTGCGTGTTCCAGAGTATTTACAACCCCATGCACATGGGGCTAAGCCAAGGGTTGTGTCACATGACATTCGTCATGCACCTCAGCACACACGACGAGCACACATTAAAACGTGCCCGTAGTACACTTTGCGTCAGCTCTGTCCTACTATCTGGTTATCACCTAGCTCACCATGGAAGCGCAACGCGTAAACTTTGGGTGCACCACCTGGACAATGCTGGCTTTCCTTACAAAGTTAATGCCTCCTTTATTTCTTCCAAGGCCAGTCCAAACGCATGCTTCTCAATGGAAGTCGTCGGTCTGTCTTAGTTCAGAGAGTGGTTGTGATGCGACGCTACATGATCGGTAGCGCTAGAGTAACTGTATATGCTAGCATACTCTATGTACAGCTGCTTGCATCACACTTTCTTTTGAGCGCTTTCTCCCATAGATGCGATAGACGTGTTTCCCACTCCAATATCGTAGGTCTGTCAGATTTGTTCCTTCATGCTCCTTTTTTTGTTGCTCAAAGCAATGCTGCCACTGTATCACAGCACATTTGAAGTCAGCGCATGCAGTAGCATTGCAGTGATGCTTCCCCATTGGTTGACTGCATAGTACCACGAACGACGACACCCTATCTCAAAACCCCCTATCTTTTACAGAGCCAGCGTGACCTCCAATATTGTGAACACGAGAAATGCAAGATGCCGCCCCACAGATCTGTACACAACTGAACAAAAGATTACTTCATATGATTTCTGTCGTGAGACACTGCATGACAGGTTCTCTCCCCCACGACCGCAAAGCACATGCGAAGACTAAGTGATGGGCAAGAGCAGGAAAGGACCAGAGGAGAAGCTGGTGAACAGCTAGATCGGGTGAATCTGACTGGCATTGATAAAATAGAGGAGGCATTGGCAAGGTTATGATGTGTCCATATGTTTAATATCTTAGGGTAGCAGTGACATCAACCAATTCACCAAAGTGAGCTAGCAGCTGCTTAAAGGGGAACTCCGGTGCATTTACGACCGCACTGAGATAATGTGGTTTTCAAATAGTATTGACAGTCCTGCAAACGCTAGGATGGTTCGTCTTGCACAGGCACTCGTCAATGATTTTAATTGAGCAATAAATGACTACTTAAAACAGAAACCGAAACAGGGAGCTGCTCGATCGTCCATAGTGGGTATAGAATGACGTCACGAGATCCGCTACACCTCGCAGGGATTCTAGCCACCCTAACCCCACCACGGCTGGCCAGGGCAGGGTGTAAACATAGCTCACGTGCCTCCTCTGAAGCGCGAAAAACTTGTTGGTGATGTCATCCAACGTGGAATTAAGCTGTGCCAGCCCGTCTGAACTTACCACTGACAAGTATAGCAATGATTGTAGCTACTACGTGAGCAGGAAAAACATAGCTTTTTGAATTTAACTCACCGGCGTGTGAAGCATGTGACATGCCCCGAATCGATTTCTTCGTTGCTCAATATCGTAAGACCCGGCGTCAATGACGATTAACACGCTGTGTGCACTGACAAAACTGAACTGTGCTCGCGTGGTCGCCTCGTAGAAGAAAGGGCACGCTGCATTCGTCTGATGGGAAAGGCGGGGTTTTTGAAAAAGAGGCCCTTACGTCACATACTTAGGGTGGCCCGCGTTTACAAGTGCGATTTCAGAATCTGCTACCATATTTTAAAATTGATTTTCTAAATAACTAAATCACGCTTGTATAATTTGGCACATATCCCTATGGTACCGACGAGAACACATGTTCAAAGTTTTATTGAAATCGGTGATTATCGAAAAAAGACTGAAGTTCCCCTTTAAGCTCAGCCTGGGTGGCGACAGTAGCTTTCAAACATAGCTGGCCTAGCTCCAACCCGTTGCCGTGCTCAGTATTCCCTTAGGCAGTATTGTAATAGTTACTTATTTAAAGCTTTTTATTTTTGTAAATTTATAGGACATGTATTTGTGGCTCCATGCTTGACCCCAAAGATTGTCTAATGTATACATATGTGTCGCTGCACTATGACCAATAAACCTAGTTGGTACAGCGCTCGCGGTCGTCGGTTATCAGGGACAAGTGTATATTAAATCGCTATTTTCTGAATGAAAAAATGTCAGAAGTGCATTGTTGTGCTCGCTGTCTTTCTCTTGGGGTAGCCTTTCTGCGCCTTCGCAAGTACAAATGCCTGTAGTACGATCACCTTCATCTTTTATGCAAGACAGCTACATCCACTACATCCATTAAAATACAGTAATTCTGCCAGCAACAGCAGCTATCATAAAATTATCAGGCAAAGTGGAGAAAATTTCTTAGCATTAAGCAGGCTTTATTTTGCTTTACCCAATACAACTGTTCCTGGAAATGATAAATTCATTGTAGTAGCAAACAGAAGCATAGACGGAATCTGCAGGTGAGCAATGCTTCTTTCCAAGCACACTTCTCTCAGTCGGAGACCTCAGCTAGGCTGAAGCCTCGCTTGAGGACCCTCTCCATGAATGATGTCCCATCAAGAGCTACTCCGGGGCTGAGGACTCCACCTCTGAAAAAAAAAAAAAAAGTGCAATGAAGGAATGCATCAGAAATTTCAGTTGATGATGCAAAAATAATAGCGTCATGCTACTGAGCATTCTGAAAAAACTTGTTCAGCGATTATTTTGTAGCAAATAAACAGAATACTCGTTGAATAAAATTGTACTTCATGACGTAACGTTCTAAATACACCTATGTGGTTATCAGCAGACCAGTAGACAAACGCTGTGACATGCAACGACTAGACTCGCACAGTTCCAACTGCATTTCCCTAAGATGACTTCAACGATAAAAAAAGGTTCTTCTTAGCAAGCGATTATGCTGCTGGGCGTAGCATTACGTCATTTAGCTGGTCTTATAAAGCCAAACTCCTCCGGCACTCATCTCTCTGGGCTGAAACTGCACGATTTATCAAACTTCACTTTCCTTTTGCAGCAATGTTTTATGTGGCTAGGGCATTCTCTCTATACTTCAAACACCCCCTATAGTGTCCTCTAGAAAGCAGTGCACAAACAAAAAAAACCTCACAGGATACCTTATGCATACACCTAATACGACTCAAAGGCGAGAGGCATTTTCCTATTGCAATAGCAATTATGTTGACATTCTCGACTGGTTTTTGCTGTTGCCAGGAGCGCAGGCAGAATGTTTTTTCTTTGGGGGGGGTTGTACATTAACATGAAGGAGGGGGGTGCGGGCAGACAAATAGTCATTTTGTGCTATACATGCCGTGGCAAAAAAAAAAAAAATTCCGTGAGGAAAAGGCACATTCCCATGTTTTGCGTGTTTCACTGTTCAGCGAACCTGCACAACAGAATTTCCGTTGGCACCAAACATAGCATCGTGGATTACTTGGGACGCACACGCAACCACTGTTTATTCAGCGGATTAATTCTAGGTACTTGGTTGTGACTTTAGTGGCCCCGAGTATAAAACAGGCATTGTTCAGCACGACGTTCGCGTACCTCAAGCTGTCTGAAAACTTGGGTAAGGCTTGTTATAAAGACTGACCAGTTCGTTTAAGGTCAGTTTTTACCCCAAATAGAACATGTCCCAGAGTACAGAGTGGAATGGGGAGAGGAAAATAAAGGTGAGAAGAAGAGAGGAAAAGAGAGGAGAGCGATGTTCATTGCCGAGGATGTGGTGGGCGGCTTTTACGGCTAGTTTTTGCAATCCTTGAAGACCTGGTTGTAGTGGAGGGGCGGGGAGTAGGAGATGCCGCAGTGATGCCACAAAAAGGTAGAGAACGAATCCAAAACCATGAAGGGCAGGCAACAGCAGGTGCCTCTGTGAAGCCGCAAGAAGGTAGAGAACAAATACGAAACTGTGGGGGGGTAGGGAAAAGGAAGGTGCCCCTGTGAAGTCGCAGGAAAGTAGAGAATGAACACAAAACTGTGAGGGGCAGGGAACAAGAAGTGCCTTTGTAAAGCCAAAGGAAGGTAGAGAATGAATACGAAACTGTGGGGGGCAGGGAACAAAAAGTTCCCCTGTGAAGTCTCAGGAAAGTATAGAACGAATACAAAACTGTGGAGGGTAGGGAACAGGAGGTGCCTTTGTGAAGTCCCAGAAAAGTATAGAACAAATACAAAACTTTGAGGTGAAAAGAACAGGATGTGCCTTGGTGAAGCCAAAGGAAGGTAGAGAACGAGTATGAAGCTGTGGGGAGTAGGGAACAGGAGGTTCTGCTGTGAAGTCTCAGAAAAGTATAGAAGTAATTTAAAACTATGAGGGGCAAGGTACAGAATGTGCCTCTGTGAAGCCAAAGGAAGGTAGACGAGGAATATGAAACTGTGGGTGGTAGGGAACGGGAGGTACCTATTCGAAGCCGCAAGAAGGTAGAGAATGAATACCGAACCATGGGGGGCAGGAAACAGGAGGTGCCTCTGTGAAGCCAAAGAAAGGTCTGATAATGGTGAACATGTTTCTTTGCTGCTGCCTCTGCCAAAGTTGTGTGTATTTCTGATATTGTCACATGTACCGTATTTACTCACGTAATCCTCGCACTGGCATTTATTTTGCACCCCCCTGATCGACCAACTAAAATAAGATTTCTTTTTTTCCTCAAGTAATTATCCCCCCCCCCCCCCCCCCCCCCCCCCCAAAATGTCGTATGCTCGTTCCAGCCACTGATGATGATAGCCAGCACCATCTCCTAAGCATAGAGTGTACTATTATTGCACCGAAATTCAATTCAATCTAAGCCAAGCCAAAGTGGGTGCTGCGGCATGTTTTGTACGTTGTGTACAAAATCTTATGACGTTATGGGGCGATACGGAAACTACATGGCTGCTTTTAAGTCAACAGTGATTGATCATGCACTAAACAAAAGCAACAAGGCCGCCGGTAGGCCCTACAGAGTCTATGAGTGTTGTGTTCACTTGGTGAAAGCCACCAAGACGCGTTAGGCCTTCTGTGTACCCAAGACTGAGATTGATGATAAACTTTATTTCGCCAGAAGGCGACCGCGGACAATTCTGTTAAATGGCCATCATCCCAATACTGATGTCCTATGCTTACCTTTTGCGGGCTCCTGTTGAGCCACGCATGCTATCGTTACGCCCACTAGCTTTGCGTATGGTATTCCAATTCTCGACTGTTTGCTTGCACCTTCTGTGTCTAAAATAAATCTGGTCTTGTGTTGAACCTGAGCTTTTATTGTTGAGATAAGTTTTAATTAGTACTTCTCAAAGCTTGCTCTTAGTTGCTGGCATGAGAATCCCGATTTGCGGCCACTTCCTTTTCTTTTTTGCTCTGTAGCTTTCGTAGAAAGTTTTCCCATGTAATTCTCGCACCCCCCAACTTTGCATCGGTTTTTCGCCAAAAAAAGGTGCGAGGATTATGCAGCTAAATACGGTACATTACACATTCCTGTAAACCTTGTGACTTATGTTGACAGTAGACACTTCACGTAGGCATACCTGATCTAGAAACTGATACCTGTCCATGCTGAAAATGTTTATGCTCAAATGAAGAAGGTTTCATGTGTGAAGCGTGTAGCTGTCACTATCACTTCGGCAAATGTTCGATAGTACATACAAGTTTAAAAGTGAAGCTTGGCGTAAGTCGTGGCAATGCCCGACATGCAAGTCAACGAAGTCTAAAGATGCTCATGGCTCTAAAGAGCCATAGTAAACGTAAGCTTGTTCTCAGTTGTTGATGAAAAACTTGATGGACTCTTGAGCTTTAAAGACACAGTGTAAAACATGGAGGAATCAGTCAAAACGATGTCACATAAATACAGTGGAGCCCCGTTAATACAACTTTTAGGGGACAATGCAGAACCGTCGAATAACCCGAGCATCGTATAAATGAAAAACTAAGATTATAGACCGCGACACTCAGCCTTGCCTGAAAATCGGGTACAGACTGCCTGAATAATCTCACGGCATGACTTTCTGCCTCTGCAATGATGGTAGCTTAAATTATTGTTGCCAGTGGTAGTTAACGGCACCAACAATTAGTTGAAGGAGGTACGAGTGAATCTTTATTCTAAGCCTTACAAACAATCAAATCCAACACACATCTTTCTACCGATAAATAGAGTCCAAAAATTGCCTGCACGTGAGAACAAAACCGTATTAACCTGAGCCCCCCATCAGAAGAAACAGACGCAGTGCCATCGCTATCGCGTAATGGCGATGCGCAACGAGTTTATGTACGATGCATTCGTGCGCGTTATAATTTGTTGCCTCGTGAAGTGTAACTACTGATGTCCCGCTGTTATAAATGTAGAGGTCATGTGAAAGTAATTTTGCATGGCAAAAGCAGCTGCGTCGTGCTTTATGTGTGCGCAAACCAGTGCCTGTGAGACTGACAGAAGCAGGATATCAGCCGTATGTCAACCAAGAAATGTGGGCAAGAGCTCAGTCTTGCTAAAGAAATAAAGTCGTCATTTTAAAACATTCTTCACCGAGGGCTCTACAATGATGGCAAACATCCATTTCTCTGCAGCAGCTTCAACGTGGAGCTGTGGCATGACAACACCCACTTTGCCTCTGGCAGCTAATGTCGTTGCAGTCAGGAAATTTTGTTCTTTATTATTGTAGGCACCTCATCAATGCTTGCGCAAAGCCAGCTATCATACTGGTGGTTTGCCTTCTGGTTTTAGTCAAGGTTCTTTTCATCAAAAAATAAAAAGAGAGCATTACAGGCTTCTCAGGCATCTGAACTTTTTTTGCAAGCGCTTGGATTGGGGCAGATGTTTCTCCAGATTTAAGTGCCTTGCCTGCATGACATAGCTATGGTATCCATTGTCGTGTTCAGTGAGCCTGAAAGTCAACTCTGCAACTGTGAGCTTCTTTGCCAGGGCCGAAGTGACTTCTCTGGGTTGTCACTTGGAGCCAAGCTGCCTTGAAACGAGGGGCATTCATAAAGTTTGTTTGTATTATCAGTGTGATAGATTTTTAAAAGGCATACACAGTAGGCATCAAAATGCGTGTGCATACGTCTGGTTTTATCGTAACATGGAACTGTTATTCTTTACAATACCGTACGACACAGCTAGGGCACCAGAAGAATGTCTGGCTGTTCCTGAACTCTCAAATTGAAAAGTTCCTGTGCCTGCAGTAGTTCGCACATCACTGGCAGAAGTGCATGACTCACCGGAGACTGTGTAGAGGAAGAATAAACTGTCTTTCAGATTTTATTTGTGTGTCTTTCTTCATGTCCCAGATAACAACTTTATGAACATCTTTCGTAGATATCTGTGGCGATAAAGAATGGTGTTTTCAAATACTTTACACAACCAGTAAATATATGCAAATATTAGGACCGCTTTCAGAGTGTTGCTTTGGTGTTTTCAAATACTTTACACAACTAGTAAATATATGCAAATATTAGGACTGCTTTCAGAGTGTTAGAAGCAATTTTGTATGTGTGTCATCTTGCTGTATAGCTCTCAGTGAAAAATAAGGTTGTCTGTCGTTCATCCACAATGGAACAAACTAAAGCGTGTGTGTCAAGGGAACAGGGTAAGCCCTATACCCGCCATGTATTTTTGGCGAAATTTAT